CAAAGTAAAACCTTTTCTTCAGTTGCTCATGTAAAAGAACACAACTACTTGATATCAAGCATGCACAGATGAACACGAAAAAGAACTTCATAAATAAATAATTAAGTCAAATAATGTAAGAGACTAGAAAAGAGTAAGGGCAGGAAATTAAATCATACCTGCACATTTTCCATCCTGTTGGTATTAACCTTATCTGGCACAGAGTTACTCTCAACCTCAGGTACTTTAATCTTAACCCATTCATCCTCACTAGAAACACTAGTTTCCCCATCAGCAACACTGTCTTTAGTTATTTCACCCGATAAACACTCACTATGCTCCTTGCCAACATCTTCGATGCAACTGGTTTGCAGTATTATTCCATCCCTTTCGGCAACACCACATTTAACAGTACAAAGATATTCACTGCTACTATTTGGATGATGGGCATAATAGACTTCATACACACGAGCGGTGCTCCGAACATAAATTTGACTGACGTCATACTTCTGACCAAAACATACTGCAAACATTGATATTGTCAAATCAGTAAAAATAGTTTCCATAGAATACAAAATTTGATCAGAAGACAATATGCATTTACTAATTTTGAAAAACGATATAATATTGCTGCCACTACCCAATAATGTTATGCAACATTTTATATGATCACAAAGCAGACAGATAACAAACTATTAGAAAAAAAACATGGGAATCACCATCATTGACAATCACATGAGGATTGTGCAAATATAGACTCGGACAGTATATGAGAACCGCACTCAACTTATACGTCCCATGGTCTAGCGAAGTACATTAGCAGTTGAATGTATTTATAAACTCAATCACTACCTTTTCCGTTCAGACATTTAAATTTAAATTGTCAACAGAAAATAAATAAATCCTGCAGAAGTTCAATCCCCATAATCACATATGAAATGATCTTCACAAATCGAATCCAGTACAGGATTCAAAACCACAGTCTCGACAAAGTCTCTAAAAACAATAAAAAATGACAATTCCATAAACCCTAATGCACACACATACAAAAAATTAAAGCAAACAACACTTCGAAAACACCACCGAAACTATTTAATCACCAAAACAAAAGGAGTCACAAAGATTAGAAATTACTCTTAATTTCGCAAGGGCCAGAATCGGGCAGTGACGGATTGAGAAGAAGAGGCGAATTACGGGCCGCAGTTTCCGGGTCGGGCTCATCAATGGGGTAATCGGAGGAGTCAACCGTGACGGAAGCCTGGGTAGACCCATGAGCTACGACCCAACTCGTAGCGATGGTCCATGGAGCATTGGTTTTGCCATTCGCATCACAGACGATCCCATTTTCTCGTGCCGACTCCATTTCCGATTTCTCCAGATTTTGGGTGTGGTTGGGGTTCACAGAAGTAGCTTGCTGTAAACGCATTACGTAAAAACTGAAAATGGTAATATCTAGTTTATAACTTTATATAGGCCAATACCAATTTCTTGAATTGAAATTATCAGTATGATTTTAGATATTTCCTGAACATCGAAGCATAATTGATAGGGAAAATCTTGGAGAACTAGGGTGTCAATATTTCTTGAATTAATATTAATTCCGTTGTAGTCTAGTGTTTAGGTCCTTTAGGATATTCGGCTCTCACCTGAGAAACTCCGAGTTCGAGTCCCGGCAACGGAAATTTGTGCATTTTATTTTTTTCAAAGTAGAAATTGTAAAATAATAAAAATAAAATAATGTCCTTTTCTCCATGTGAAAAATACATTATTCCCCTCCTAACCTTTTATAATCTTCTCACCCCGCTTTAACCTCATCTTAATAAGTATCATATAAATACAAAATTATCAGCGTTATATAGATTTATCATCATTAGTATATAACTTTCAAGCGAAATTATTACAAATATAGATGGATGTAGAATTTTGATGAATATTCATGGGGCGTCAACCAGTTGAGCCAAGCTCGAGCTCGAACTGAGCCAAACAAACTTTAAATGAGCTTAAGCTCACCTCATTTGATCGGTTAAGTAACTTAACAACTATTGATAAAATAACAGCTCTTTAAAACACACATAGAGGAGAAAAATAAGTACATTTATTATTGTTACTATTCTTCTTTATTGACATTACTTAGATTAATCTATTTGGCGGTTTGTGTCTCTATGTTGTTTATTTAAGCATAGTTTGTTTCGCACTTTATCAATTATCTTCACTTTTTTTATCGCATGGTGTAAGGGATAGGTTTTTTCACATTTTTATCATAGTTTTTAAACCCGGCCCGGGAATCGACCTGGGCAGGTCTCCGGGTCACCGGCTCAATTGCTGAACCGGATAATTAATTTTAAATTTTTTTAAATTATATATAGAGTATTTTGTCTTATAAATATACATAAAAATAACAAAATTAAATATTTTGTATATAAAATTTGCACATTAAAGTGCTAATAATATGTATTTCATGATAAATATTTACTATATAAATATATATAAATAGTTTTATTTTTTAAAAACAAAAAATATATTAAAAAATAAAAAAAATAATTAAAAAAATATATAGAACCGGGTCAACCGGGTTGACCCAGTCGGGTCAATGCCCCGGGTCGACTGGGTCAATGCCGGGTTGACCGGGTTTGACCGGGTCCGTTGTTTCCCGGTCCGAATAGCCCACCCAGACCGGTTCCAGCTCCGGGTCGACCGGTCCCGGGTCGATCCGCCGGGCCGGTCCGGGTTGAAAACACTGATTTTTATCAATTATCTTCACGTATCTGTTGCATAGTTTATGCAAATTTTGTTTCGTACTTTATCAATAAACCTTTATGTCGCATAGTGTATCGCATAATTTGTTTAGCATTTTATCAATTATCTTCGTCCATTTATCGCATAGTTTATCGCATAATTTCTTTCGCACTTTATCAATTATCTTCGCCTTTTTGTCACATAGTTTATCGCATAAGCTTTTTCGCATTTTATCAATTATCTTCGTCTTTTTATCGCATAGTTTATCACATAATTTGTTTATAGCTTTATCAATCATTTTTTCCTGTTTGTCTCATAATTATCGCATAATTTGTTTCGCATTTTATCAATTATTTCCGTCTTTATGTAGCATAAGTTATTTTGTACTTTATTAATATTTTCATATGTCGCATAGTTTATCACATAAATATTTCACACTTTATTAATTATCTTCGCATGTCTGTATGTTGCATAACTTATCGTATAATGTGTTTTGCATTTAGTGGAGCGAAAATGTTAATTTATTAATTAGCTGTGCGAAACACTTAGTCCATCTTTTGAACGAGCAAAAATAGCTATTTCTTGTTATATTTATTTTGCAACAATTTTTCAGTAAATATTCTTTCCTTGAGACTTAGTACAACTATTTTCATATATGTAAATAAGCTTTGATATCTTCTTGTGTCCAGCTTTTAATTCGTACTTATATATTTTTTTTCTTGTAATTATGATGTTTGTGTAGTTTTGTTAAATCTCGTGTTGTGTATATCTACTGGTTAATCTTATTCAATTTGTTGGGGGTATTTTTTAGAGTCTATTTTGTATACACCATTAATTAGCATATATCTTATTTAATTAGCGTATAAACGTATTAATTCAAATAAGTTTAATTTGATAGAACGAGTTTTTTTTTAAAATTGAAGCTAATCCCATAATCTCCTTAGGCAGTTTTTTAATTAAGCCCGTTGAAATCTCTATTTAAAATGACTTATCAATTAATTTTACCAAATATTTTTATCATATCCGTTAGTTTTTCAATCATAAGTTTAAAATATACTTATATGCTATTAGTTCACTTATCAACTAAGGTTATTAAACATAAATTGTAGTTCGTGTGTTGCAACTAGGGCTACACACGAGTCGAGCGGCTCACGAGCTGCTCGCAAGCGCTCGAGTCAAAACTCGGCTTGAGCTCAAGTTTGACCGAACTCGAGTCGAGATCGAACACATATTTTGCATTGTCGAGCGGCTCGAGATATATGCTAAATTACTAAAATACTCCTGTATATATATGTATCATAATATTAATATATGTACTTAAATTGCTTGAAAATTTTAAACCAACTCGAGCCGAGCTCTAGCTATTGTATTTTTTTTACCGAGTCGAGCTCGAGCAGCTAAAAAAAAAATCAATCATGCTCAATAAGACCAATGCTCGACTCGGCTCGACTCGGCTCATTTAAAGCCCTAGTTGCAACCCTTCATATCTCAATAATTTTTAGAATTCAAAGTCCTTGTTTCTTTTAGCATTATTAAAATAAATAATATGATAAAATACTATTTTAGTCGATCTTATTCCCCATTTTTCAAAGATATTAGACTTGTTTGATATACATGTCCCTAACTCACAATCCTACCTAAAAATTAAAATATCTTTATTGAGGATCTAACAATATTATTCAATTATCTTAGAACCAAAGTAAATACTCCTATATGTGAAACTTTTTGGAATACAAAAAATGTTTGAAAACTCTAATTAAGGTCCAAACCTCTCTATATAACCCAAAACTATTTTTACCAAAACTTATCTTTTTTAATTGTCTTAAATGAGGTCGTCCGTATTGTTTTCCCTTTTTGAATTGAATTTAACAAAGAAAAAGAAGACTAACAAAGTCAAAAAGGCAAAAACCCCGTATACTATCTTGTCTTTCTTTGGGCCGTTGATTAAAACGCATTAATTTCTAATTACACCTAAAGTAGAAAGCACAAAGTTGCAAAACCAATGGACGGCCGGGCCATGGTTTTCTCGTATGATGGTACGAAATAAGATTTCAGATGATAATGGTGGTGCCATGGTTTGGATTCCTATTGAAAAAGAAGAAAAAGTTATAATAAAAGAGTTATCGATTGTCGTCATCACAAGCTAGGCGTGTACGGATCCAAATCGGAGAACAAGGGGGAAACCCGAAAAGGTTGGTCGAGTCTGCTTTATTTTTCTTCACTCAATCCCGTTCTCTTCCTCCACAGCCCACCATCAAATTTTACACTACGATGGTAGATTTTAAGAATGTTATCCATAGAAAAGGTCCCTCCCCTTAATCCTCTTTTTNTCCTTTTGGGGTTTTCAGAGTTTATTTGGCGATTTTATCCTATTTTCTGTTCTGCTTTTCGGTTGGCGATGTCTTTGGTTGAGAACTTTGGCTTTTGACTAAACCAGGGGTGTTTCTCTAATTATTTTCTGATATTTTACGTTGGGCTTTGAGGAGGTTTAGTCTTGATTCCAACAAGCAACAGAGATTTTTTGAACTTAATGTGAAGTTTCTTTTGTTTTATTTTCCTTGGTTAGCAGTTTATTCACATTGGGCTACATTATATGTGGAGCTTGAATTTCATGGTGATCAAGATTCTCTTTTCTATTGATTGATGTGGATGATTTGGATCCGGAATTGATTGAAATGTGACTGGACTGGTTAATGAATTGGTATTCAAATTGTTGTTCTTCAATATTCAAACTTCTTGTGATGATCAATGATCTGTATAAAGTTCTCTTTTTTTTCCTTTATTTTTCAATTACTGATTCCCAGAGTTGATCGGTAATTTGATTATTTAAGCTGATACACACAATTCTCCTTTAACCTTCCTATAATAAGTTTTTGAAAAATTCATGCTAGTTTCATTAGGTTAGATTGTTCTCTATTCTGTAATCAGAAACAATAGAAAACATGTTAGGGCATTCCAAGTAACCCAGACTATGTCCATCTAGACTAATATGACTGATTTTCACACCTTTCCCTGTACGCAATTGCTTTTGTTTGAGCACATGCTCATTTGTTCAGGGTCCTTCACATTTTCACCAGCATCATGAATATCCATTTTGAACAATTGAACTTGTCTCTAAATATCTGTATCTATATGCAGAATAACATTTAAACGGCCATCACTACTGCTGTCCTCTGAGGAATCTTGTTCGATCTTATCCAGCTCTCTCGACCTTTTATAGTAGACTTAGAAGGTCGCTCACCACAACCTGGCCGGCCTTACTGTGTTATCTGATTTCATACGCATGTGATGTCAGCGTAACTCAATAGTCACCCAGAAACAAATAAAAAATGGGTCCAAGAGTTAAGTGGACCATTTTATTTTTGTTCTTTATGCTCGTATTAAGTCTCGCTGTTACCGCTCAACACATAGACGAATCCTCACAAAGAATAACTGCCCCAAAAAGGAATGCAGGGAGTGGTGTGATAGATGGGTCGGGCCTGGAGCATATTGTTAACTCGGATAAGAGTGTTAATGGGATGGGTGAGTGGCAGGTTGGTAATAGTCGGGTTTCGGTGTCGACAGTTGCTCTTTTCACTCTGGCAATGGCCGCTGCCACTGGTTTGGGTGCAGTACCTTTCTTTTTCCTGGAGCTCGATCCTCAGTGGGCTGGGATATGCAATGGAATGGCTGCAGGGGTTATGCTTGCTGCCAGCTTTGACCTTATACAGGAAGGACAGGGGCACGGGAGTGGGAGTTGGGTTGTTTTAGGTATTTTGGCTGGTGGGATTTTCATATGGCTTTGCAAGAAGGTGAAAACTTGTTGACTTGTAATTTATTTATTTATTTTTAATTTTCATTCATTTTGCTGTGGGAATTGAATATGCATCTGTTTTTTTGGCCGTACCCTGCTTTTCTGTTGCATGGTTATTTCATCTTGCTATCTGACATGATTTTGGATTTTTTGAATCGATGTAATTAAATCAAAGATACTATGTAGGGTTGTATTGACTGATGCCTCCTTTAATAATGTTCTTTTTGGTTATTAACTTTTGTGGTTATAATGGTTCATATGAGTACAAGTTACGTTGTTGGCTGTGTAGAAGCAATCAGTTTGTTTTCCTGTCCCGATTTTATTGTCTTTGTTTTGATCATTCTGCTCTTATTTTCTTTATACACGCTTCATCTTTCAAACACAGAAAATAGTTTGCTTTCTTTGCTTTTTCTGTGGATCTGTACCTGTTATGTCACACATATGCGTCCATTTGTTTGTCGGCATTGTTGTTCAATATAGAGGGATCTTCAATAACTGAATGCATACCTTATTTTAGCAATACTATGAAGACCCTGAACCGACTCTTATTTCACAATTGGTAAATGCGAAAGTCTAAAGTGTTCTCGTCATTCAGACAATGTTTCGATTCTATATTAATAAATTCTGTACTGATATCATCTTATTTTGTCATCAACTTAGAATGCCTGCCAACTTTCTGATTTGTCTATTACGAAGATGCATCCTACAATGGCATCATAGCACAGAATATGAAGAGAAACTCTTTTTCTAAATCGTAACTAACTGTTAGAATTTTGTGTATTGTATCATTGTTAAAACTTTACCAAAAACTGTGCTAGCCGGTGACTTTATTAATAGTTGTCGATCTAATTGGAATTTCTCGTTCTTTTCAGTATACACCTACCTATCATCTTTTATTCTTTTTCCCATATTCAGTTTCTCGAACAATATGGTGAAGTGAGCATGCTGGACATAAAGGGTGCTGATGCAGCTAAGGTCATTCTTGTTGTTGGAATTATGACCCTTCATTCTTTTGGGGAGGGCTCAGGTGTTGGGGTTTCTTTTGCTGGTTCAAAGGGCTTGTCTCAAGGGCTACTGGTTACTTTAGCAATTGCCGTTCACAATATACCCGAGGGATTGGCTGTGAGTATGGTCCTGGCATCGAGAGGAGTTTCCCCACAGAAAGCCATGTTATGGAGCGTAATTACATCACTTCCCCAGGTAAGTTCGTATTTTTTTCATGGTGACAACCATGCAATACATGGTTGTTAATGACATGCATTGCAATAACTGTAGATTACCCAATTGCCGAACCAACTGAAAAGGTTTAGTCTTGGCTAACTATTTTTGTGTGGGTGGGGTCAATATCCTTATGATTATGTATTGTTGTGATAATATTAGCTTTTTTCTGTAATTTGTGGATGCAGCCTATTGTAGCAGTTCCGTCCTTTATTTGTGCTGATGCATTTAACAAGTTTTTGCCATTTGCCACGGGATTCGCTGCTGGATGTATGATTTGGATGGTTATGGCCGAGGTCCTTCCTGATGGTTTTAAGGTAACCTCAATTGTTACTAGTCATGCGTAAAACTGAACACGTGTGTCTGTGTGTGTGTGTGTGTTTGTGTATAGAAAGTAATTATGAAGTGTATGATTTTTTTTTTTTCCTACGTAGTACATTGCTTAAAGTTGGTGAGGCGTAGTACTTTGTTGATTGTCACCTCATGATTATCTTCCTCCAATCTTTCATATCACAGGAATCTTCCCCATCTCATGTGGCATCTGCTGCAACTCTTTCTGTGGCATTTATGGAAGCCCTTGGTGCTCTTTTCGAGCACTTTAGTCACAGCTACAAGTAAGATTTCCCT